GTATCTAGTCGAAGACATTACCCTCAAAAATTGAAAAAAATTCGCTCGTTCCCCGTAAATGGGGGAAACCTTCAACAAAATTACAAATTAAAAAATCGCTAATTTTCAAAATTATTTCAATTTTTTTTACTTAAAAGTGCCATAACTTTTTCAAAAATAAACATATCAATATAATTCTTTTTTATATAGATGCATAATATCATTACCTTTCATTTGGTATATTTTTTTCATAAATTTAACCCTTAACCTGCCCACAAGGGGGGATTTAAAATGACAACTTTTTCACAAAAAATTAACTTTTTCAACTTAACTTTTGAAAATGTTCCGGAAGGTCTGACACTTTTATATATATCTTAAATTAAAGCTAATGTAATATACTTTATTATGCAAAAAAAAAATTTCGGACTTTATTTTATCTTCACGGTGAAAATGGCTACCGAATGCTATTTTTGTGTGAAAATTTTCGATTTTGTATTTTACATTTTTAACTTTATTATGCTATAACTTTTTGAAAAATGTATGGATCAGTACAATTTTTTCATGAGTAGTAGTATTTATATACATCTTTCATTTGACATACTGTTTTTTTAAATCCGACCATTTCCCTATATACGAGGGGGGCTCAAATCTAAAAATGCATGTAGAAAGTAGAACTTTTTCAACTTAAATTTTGAAAGTGTTCCGGAAAGTCTGACACTTTTATATATATCTTAAATTAAAGCTAATGTAATTTACTTTATTATGCGAAAAAAAAATTTCGGACTTTATTTTATCTTCACGGTGAAAATGGCTACCAAATGCTATTATTGTGTGAAAATTCTCGATTTTATTTTTTACATTTTTAACTTTATAATGCTATGACATATTGAAAAGTGTATGGATCAACATTATTTTTTTATGAGAAATAATATTTTTTAATAATCCCTTTTTCATTCTACATACTTTATCTTAATTACGATATTAATAATGAACAAGCAGATCATGTAGCTTTTGGAATAGTCCACCAATTTTTTAAAATTAAACACTATCTAAAGATTTGCATCAAAGCGTTTTTTTTTGATAGTGATTTTAATCACTGTCAGATATCATTATACTTGATCCAACTATGCCACGTCACCACTGTGCCGCGACCCNTATACTTCATCCATCTATACCACGTCACCACTGTGCCGCGACCCCCCTGTGCTGGGTTTTTTGTTCATTATTATTCATTTTTTTGTTAATTATTCAAATTTTTTAAGATAAATTTCATTTGGGCAAACATTGGGTTCCCAATATTATAACACCTTAATTTTTTTTAGTTATAATATAACTTAAATTATTCTAGCCCCTCTAAATACTTTATCAATTATCCATCTATTGATTCACTATGTTTTAAATGATTTACTATTTATTGCACAACATTAAAAAAAATGTCTTTCAAATTAATCAAATGTTAAAGTAATAATAATAATATATATATATAGTGACTATGACACCTTCTTAGAATTTGGTTAGCTGACTGTCCGCTTTTCAGTCATAGATACAATGATTACTGGCACTCTGTGATATAGCACAGTGACCCTGTCCGTCTTTCATTAGTAGATAGTCTATGAATAACAGTTCCTTTTTATAGTATTTATTTTATAAATGTACCATTTTGTCTCCAAATAATATAAATTAAAATAATGTATTCTATATTTTTATTTTAAGGCGAATAAGTGGTGCAATGATAAGAATATCAAATACTGAAGAACATGAAGCATCTGGTAAAATGGAAAGAGCTATTACAATTAGTGGTCAAACTGATGCTGTTAATGTTGCTAAGACTTTAATTAATTTAAGGTTGTTGTCTTATTGTTTTAATTGTCTAACAATATTTTAAATTCAGAAAACATTTTAAAAAACTTATATAATGTTTAGTGTTGATCAATATAATAAATCATCTGGAGGTGAAGCACCTGATTATGACGAAGAATGCCCAACTAATAACACAACAGATATGAAATCAACTTCTGAAACATTAGCATCACTATTAACTAACCCCAATGGAATTAGTGCTTTAGGAGCATTAACTGGACTTAAAGAATTATTGGGAAATATTAACAGCAAAAAACAATTAAGCAAGAAACGAGAAAAAACTGATAATAAATTTACTCCTTATTAATTTAATAAGCTTTATTTTTTATTTTGAGGCCAAAATATATTATATAATTTTGCTTCCAAAACTACTAAATTATTATTGTGTGTGTGTGTGTGTAGATGTTAGGTAAGTAAGGAAACAGGTTTCTATTGTTCTCATTGTTTGTAACAATTGACCTGTTTCCTTACATACTGAACACTCAATATATTATAAAAAAAGTGTTCTAGTAGTTAATGTTCTATGTGTTCAAAAATATTCCAACTTAGATCGAAGCAAGGAATTAATAAATAATAATTATTATAATTAATTATTAAGAAATAAATTATAATTTATTTCTTAAATTGTATGAGCGAAACTTACCATAAGTTTAATTAATTAAGAAGAATTCTTTTAAATAATTAAAATTGTTTTTTATTATCCAAAATTTATCAGGAGTAGCATAATAAATTTCATTAAATATGAAGTAATTAGAAATTTTTATGGTGGTGAAAAATCAATGTCAGTTAAAAACTTAGAACGATTATGACCTTTCAAATCAATATCTAATTGTAGTACTCTTTAAGTAAAAATCAGTAATCATTGCTTTTTTTTTTTTTTTTTTTTGGCACTTGAATGCTACCCAAATATCTTGTATTACTATACCACAAAAATTATTAATTTCTTCCAAAACACCCTTTGATGCTATGTGTGGATCTGCACAATTGCATGGATTAGATTCATTTATCATTAAATGGATAGAAACCATGGTTAATGAACATACCATTTTGGGACAGCTCAATAAAATCAAAGTAATTATGAGTGTTAAACAAGAATACCCATAAGGAGGGGTGTTATCTTCCTTTCTATTGTGTCTAGCTGTAGCTTCTCATATTCAAGAAACAAACAAATATTGTAACACACAAGCCTATAAAGATGACTTAGCTATAGCAGTAGAGGGTAAATTCCCAGACAAAATTATAGACTTGACACAGCAGAGACTGAACACTATACACACGTGGTGCAGTAAATGTAACCTAGCTGTTAATCTAAACAAAGCAGAGGTAGTAATGTTTACCAATTAAAGTACTTGACAGTTTTAGTACTCTTAGCCTGAATGAACAAGAAATTAATTTTAAGTCGGAGGTGAAATACTTAGATGTTATTTTAGACAGTAAGCTAAGATGGAAATTACATATTAAATCATGAGTTAGAAAAGCCCTGGCTACATAGAGAACATGCAGCAGAACTCTGTGAAAGACCTGAGGCCTTGAACCTCGAATTATATATTAGCTATACACTTCAGTGATTAAACTTATGGTTTTATATGGTGCCTTGATATGGCAGACCAGAACAACACTCATTAAAGCTAATTTAAAAAAATATCTCAAAATTAGGCAACCGTATAAAAACCATTTTTTTTCTACATTTTAAAATCAATGATCTCAATGAAATTTTATTAAAATATACAAGAGGTAATAATTTTTCTTTTGGTATGATTTGTACAAAATTCCAAAGAAAAATTCAAATACAGGAAGAATTTAAAAGAGACCATAAACGTACGTAATTTTTTTTCAACTCAATTTTTGAAAATGCTACAACAAATAAGTAGCGAGGACTTATGTAAATATTAAGATTCTCAATACTAAAATAAAATGAAACAAATAATAGTGAAATATAAATAAAAAAAGAACACAATATGCTTCATCGAACTAGTATGTGAAACGAAATGTTTCATTTCAATCAAAGTACAAACAATTACCTTTAAATAGTAACTGGTTCTTATCTTAATTTGCGCTAGCAAATGTCAGTCATCGTTGATAATCGCGGCTATTACCCAAATATTAACAAGCTGGACAGCTATTATTAAATATTTATATTTTTCGAGAAGGTATAATGCACTATCTTTCTAGGTATAAATTAACAAAAAAATGGTTGCCAATGATGTTTTATCTATGCTAATATACTTAAAAATTATTTTATATATTGACCATACAGTTATTGAGGAAGCACTGTTAGTAATTTCTTTAAATTTAACTACAATTTAAAATAATATTATCTTAAATCGTGAATTTAACCAATCATATTCTAATACATGGAAGCATGTTGAGGTTATGTTATCATTTAAGCTTATAACGATTCGCATAACTGGCGGAAGAAATAAATGATAAGTACACAATCAAGTTACATTTCAATTTTTACAGTAGTTATATAAAATTTTTTTATTTAATTAAATTTTAGGAATATTTTATATTTCTTCATCTACAGATTTTAATAAAATGCATTATTATTAAATATACAATAACAATTTAATCAATTAATTGATTTATAATATGTCTAAAATCATTAGAAAGAAACTTAGTAAGTTAATATTATACATTAATAAGTGCTTCCATTAATATATAATTTATTTTTAAAAACAGATAACAATGGCCAATATTCAAGCCGTTCAAGATTCAAAAATAATGGTAATAATAATAGTATTGTTTTATGTAATTTATATTAAATTATTTTTGCTTAAAAGTTAATGAAGACTGATTCTACAAATCTAATTGAATCAAATCAAGCTCTTTATAGTATTCAAATTGATGATATTAAAATAGATAAACTTATATATATATAATATATCAAAATGAAGTATTTGTTAAAAATTTCTAATCTTAAATATAATTATTTTGAAAACTACATAAATTTTATAATTATTTTAATAGTGTTTTTTCTTAGTGGTTGTTTTTATTTTTTTTTAGGATAGTGTTTTATTTATCATTATCAATTTAATTTCAGTAATTTAGTTTATATATATTCAGGATATTCAGTGAGTAAATCAATAGGTCAATTGTAACAAACAATAAGAACATTAGTAACCCATTTCCTTATTTACTGAACACCTTTATAAATTATCAATTAATATTGAATTTCAAATCATTTTTAGCTGTGTTTTTTGTTTTTTTATATCTCCACTTTTTCTTACCTATCGCCAAAAATTTCTTTTGACGATACATAAAAAAAAACAAATCGTAACTAGTTGAAGACACTGCCATTAAAAATTAAAAAAATTTTCCTCATTCCTTGTAAATGGGGGAAATCTACAAAAGAAATTACAATTTTTAAAATTGATAAATTTTGACATTTTTTTTTTCTTAAAACTGCCATAACTTTTACAAAAATAGTAAATCAAAGTAATTTTTTTATATAGAAAACTTTTGTATTTCTCTTTAATTTGATATAAATTTTCGAAAAAGTGCCCACAGGAAACAATTTAAAATAGCAACTTTTTCACAAAAGTCAATTTTTTCAACTTAAATTTTAAAAATGTTCCGGAAATACTGAATTATTTAATATATGTTAAATTAAAGCTTATGTTACGTACTATAATTTAAGAAAAAAAAAAATTATCATGACGACCTGCCTTCTATGTGAAGTTGAACAAATTTGTTAAATATTTATTCACATATTACACTTATATATTATAAAACTTGTAATTAGGATATAAATAAGGAAATAGGAGTTAATTTTGCTTTTGGGATAGTCCATCGATTTCTTAAAATGAAATATTATCTACAGATTTACATCAAAGTGTTTCTTATGATAGTGATTTTAATCACTGTCAGATATCATCTATACTTGTCCCAACTATGCCACATCCATACTGTGCTGCAACCCCACTACGCTACGATTTTTTTTTATGTTTAAATGTAATAAAACATTCTTGTCATAGATAAATTTTGTGGATGTAAAGTACTTCACATTTATTTATTAATATAAATATAGAACAATATATATACATATATATATATATATATTGTTCTTTAGTAGGCATTTTGATACTACTAGACTAAAATGGTATATGTAGCAGTGGTTCTTAGTAGCACATTTTAAGGAGAATATCTTAGAGGCAAATAACCTATTTTATTAAAATCACTTTTTTTTTATAAATTATTTGATTATATATATATATATATATATATATATATTGCAGAATCAATTACTTGGCTATTATTTGTTGGATTGTTTTTGTATCTTTTTGTTATTGAATCTAAAATATCAACAAAAAATGGCAAATCCGTTACAACAATGATTGATGCCAAATGGAGTTTAGCACCTTTAGTATTAGAAATGGCTGAATATATGGCTGAAGATAGTCAACAATCTTTGTGGTCATTTGTTGATAAAATATCAGATCTTAATCCAGTGTTAAATGAACTTGGTAAAATTTAATTAAAAATGTATATTTGTTAATTCTATTAATTTAAACTAACTTGAAGAAGATTTAAATTAATATTTTTTTACTTGTTATATTTCTTTTTAAATATTTATAGTGTTTTTCTCCAAACAATATTTTTTATATACTTAATATTATATACTATAGTTAATGTATAATTATTATAGTTTTTTATATTTAATTTACATTAAATAGAAAATGATGAAATTAAGTATCAAACAGCATTATTTCATGCTGAATCACTACTATCTAAATCAAAGTTAAGACTACTTAAATTTTCATTGTCAATGCATATTTATTCACCGCGTATTGAAATGTATACCCAAATGGCAGATGATGTAGGAGTAAAATGCAGTACAGCTGTAGATTTAGATGGGCAACTTGTATGTTCAGTAGATCAGTTGAAAGACATTTTAAAACAAATAGAAGTAAGTATTTATATTGTTGATAAAAAATTGTTAAAGCGCTAATTATAATGATGCTTTTAATAACTGTCAGATTTCAATACTATACTGGTGTCTATTATACCTAGTCCCCACTACGCTTCTATACTGGGTTTTTTTAAATTTAATTTTAAAAAATTTTCAACTCTTAATTTGAAAAAGTTATTTATACTATTTTAAATGTTACTAATTTTAAATTAATAAAAACTGTTATTACTACATTACAATATTAAATTATTCGTTTAACTTTTAGAAAAGAGGTTCAAAAATATCTTCATTAGTTTATCAAATTGATCATCATTATCCTACTTCAGGAAATAAAAACAATGTGGCAATTCTATATGGTGAATTAGGAACACTAGAATTTTCTAACTATCACAAAATTTTAAAGAAGTTTGCTCAAAAAGGTGTAATTGATTATGTATTTCGCCATTTTGTAAAGGTATATTTTAATTTAAATTTACTTAATCATGTACTTTATAACATGAATATCATGTTAGATGTTCTTATTCATTGATATTTCAGAATAGAAGCCAACAAAAAGTAAGATTATCTGGGTATGGTGTTGAATTACATATGAAATCGACAGAATATAAAGCTGAAGATGATAGTGTTGTGAAAGATAAAAACGAAATGAATGTGAATGAATCTGATGAAGATACTTCTGAAATTGAAGGTTTTGATTTTAAACGACTAATGTAAGTTTTTTTTCTTTTTATACATTTTTTATATTTGTTAAACAAAATATATTATGTGGATTTTATTATTTATTTAAATTACATACATTTTAAGCCTAATATTAACAACTTTTTAAGATAAAAATGTGAACAAAAATAATAAAATTAATTTTTGATGGTGTTTTAATTATACATTTTATGTAGCTCATTATTTAAAAAAAAAACTTTGTTTTATAAGTAAAAAGAACAAAAAAAAAATTTTTAATTTTCTTGTTTAATTAACTATTATTTTAATATATTAATCCAGAATATATTTAAATTTAGAATAATATATTTTAGTCATTTTTTATTACTCTGATTATTTTGAATGTTTATCATTTTAATTACTGTATATGAAAGTATAATAATTTTAAAATTTTAGTGAATTATACCCTGATAAAAAACAAGAGTTACTAAAACTTAGAATTCATTTATCTGAAGTAAGTGGTGAGTTAGCACCACTTAAAGCTTGGCAATTTCAAGAATTAAGCTTACAGGCAGCTCAAAGAATAATGAGTGGACCACCTCAAGACGCTATTCAAACATTCATTCACATAGCTCAAAATTTTCCAACTCAAGTAAAAATTTTTTTCATTGATTCACATATTTTATTTCATAATAGTCAAAACTAAATATTAATATCTTTTAGGCACGTTCATTAGCAAATATTAAAGTTAGTAAAGAATTAAGAAATGAAATTGCCAAAAACCAAGATAGTTTTTCAATGAATTTAAATTTGCAACCAAGTGACACCATAATGTTGTTAAATGGAATGTATTTTGACACTGATATGACTGATATGTCCACTATATTAGATACAATTACTCAAGAATTGCAAATAATGGAAGGGTTATATTCCATAGGTAAACATTATTGTTTTATATATAGCCTTTATTAAAATAATAATCAGCTCAACAGTTGTAAACAATTAGTAGAAAAATGTAACAGTAACAATACTGTGTTATAAAGGTACTAAACATTATTGTTAAATATAAAAATTTTAGCATTATGAATTTTGAAATTCATAATGATAAAAAATTTTGTTCAAGATAGTTATTGTCTGATAAGTCTTAATATTAAGGCGTCTGGGTACCGACCTTTTTTCAGGGGTCAAGTATAGGCAATTTTGCAGTTTTTTACATGTTACGCAATGTCGTTATGTGAGAAATAAATGATTATTAGTGTGAGTGTCCATTATTGGTAGTATTTTCGTCGTGTTATAATCGATAACAAAACTGGTTGTGTACCTGCCTTACTTTTTGATGCAATACAATTATATTGATAACGACACATGTTTATTTTATGTAGTCTTTTATGTAAAAACTATAGTTTAGCACCAGCCTCACTGTAAATACTAATAGACGCGTCATGATTTCACAAATTTTAATTGATTATAAAAATAATTAAACTATTTATTTTTGACGAATAAGAAAAACTAAATATTTACAGAAAACAAGTTAAATCATATGAGATCCACATCGATTATTTTGAAGTTATAAAACTATAAAAAAACTAATTTTAATTATAAGAATTCAATTTACAAAATTACATTATTTACAGCCTAAAATATTTAAGTTTTATAAGCCTGTTTTTATGGGAAGTCCTTTGTCATTCACTTCTCCATTTTCAATAGCAAGCCTAGTTTCTTCTTTCTCCACTAACTCTATCGAATCCCATCCAGTTTGCTTAGCAATATAATCATGATATTTTTGATACGTCTTATTACTCATACAAAGCATATTTAGTACAGCAGAAAACTGTTTTAAATTTGTAAACCCCTGACCAGTATTCAAAGTAGCAGTAACAACTGCAATATTTATACTAAGAGAATCATTTAATTTGGGATTCTCTGAATAATTTCTTTTTTTTTTTTTTGCAAAAAGGTATAAATTAACNTCTCTGAATAATTTCTTTTTTTTTTTTTTGCAAAAATTACATTCAAAGTGAAATTCTGAAAAAAAAACCCTTTGAACTTCAGTTTTAAATACAAGATTTGAAAAATTACAGGCAAATACTCGTGTTTAATTGACTTCAAACTATTCACTCAATGCATAAACTCTTGATACTTGTAAAAATATTTTTTCAGAAGTTAATCGACCAATATATCAAAAAGTGTTAGTTTATTTTTTATAGTATTATTTTACAATGAAATTAATACACACATTTAACTATTTTAGGTATAATTTAAACAGTCTTAAAATAATAAATAATAAATATTGAATATTTTTTTTTAATAGTTTGAAGTCAATTAAACACGAGTATATACGAGTGTAAAAATTACAGGCAAATACTCGTGTTTAATTGACTTCAAACTATTAAAAAAAAATATTCAATATTTATTATTTATTATTTTAAGACTGTTTAAATTATACCTAAAATAGTTAAATGTGTGTATTAATTTCATTGTAAAATAATACTATAAAAAATAAACTAACACTTTTTGATATATTGGTCGATTAACTTCTGAAAAAATATTTTTACAAGTATCAAGAGTTTATGCATTGAGTGAAATGGTAAAAAATCATAAAAACTATTATCTCCAATTTTTCTAAAGAAAAAAAATATTTGTTTCTAATAAATTATATTTTAACCTTGCCCTTCTTTAAAAATTTTTCTTTGTGAAAAAATTACTCACTCATTTATTAAATTCTCCTCGTTACTTGTTTGAGGTATGTCAAGTAAAATGTTAGTTTGAGAATTGGAAACATTCTACAAAAATAATATATATTGTATTTATTTTAGCTTCGATGCGAAGCTGAGAAGGTATTGGTTTTACTAAGATGTGTTTTTTTTTGTGTGTGTCTGTTACCACTTTTTCTCAGCTCTCACCGAACCAATTTCTTTCAATGATACGTCAAAAGATCACAAATTGTATCTAGTCGAAGACATTACCCTCAAAAATTGAAAAAAATGCCCTCGTTCCCGTTAAATGGGGGAAACCTCCAAAAAAATTACAAATTTTTTCAATTTTTTTTACTTAAAATTGCTATAACTTTTTTAAAAATAACCGAATCAATATAACTTTTTTTTTTATAGATACCTTAGATATTCACCTATTATTTTATATATTTTTGTTAACATTTGACCCTTGACAAGCCCACAGGAAGGGGTTTCAAAATGGTAACTTTTTTACAAAAAATTAACTTTTTCAACTTAACTTTTGAAAATGTTCCGGAAAGACTGACAATTTTATATATACCATAAATTAAAGCTTATGTAATATACTTTAATTTGATAAAAAAAAATTTGACCTCTGTACTTGTCTTCGTGGTGAAAACGGACATCAAAATTAAAGAAAAACGTACAATTTCCGTGAAAAAATTCTCGATTTTATATTTTATATTATTTAATTTATATTTTATATAACTATTTGAAAAATGTATGGATCAATATTATTATTTTTTTATACCCCTTTTTTTATATAGATGTATGATATCATTACCTTTCATTTGGTATATTTTTTTTTCATATCTGACCCTTTACCTGCTCATAGGGGGGGATTTAAAATGACAACTTTTTCACAAAAAATTTACTTTTTCAACTTAAATTTTGAAAATGTTCCAGAAAATCTAACACTTTTATATATATCTTAAATTAAATCTAATGTAATTTACTTTATTATGCAAAAAAAAAATCCGTACTTTATTTTTCAAAATTAATTTTTTAAAATTAAACACTATCTAAAGATTTGCATCGAAGCGTTTTTTTTTTATAGTGATTTTAATCACTGTCAGATATCATTATACTTGATCCATCTATGCCACGTCACCACTGTGCCGCGACCCCCCTGTGCTGGGTTTTTTTAATTTTCATGTGTAGCTGAAGTGGTATCTTGATTTTACAATAATGTGTTTTTTATTTACAAATTTTTTCTACTAATAAGAACTATTAATTTTCAGTCTGATGGTGTACCTAAATCATTTTTTAGCTTCGATGCGAAGCTGAGAAGGTATTAATTTTACCATGATGTGTTTATTTATTATTTTTTTTTTTTTGTGTCTGTCACTACATTTTCTCAGCTCTCACTGGACCAATTTCTTTCAACAATACGTCATAAGATCACAAATCGTATCTAGTTGAAGACATTACCCTTAAAAATTTTTAAATTTCTCCTCGTTCCCCGCAAATGGGGGAATTTTCCAAAAAAATTACAAATTTAAAAATCGTAAAATTTTGTCTTGTTTTTCTTAAAATTTCTATAACTTTTTTAAAAATCAAAAAATCAACATAATTTTTTTTTATAATAAAACTTTAGATATTTCTCTTTCATTTGATATCATTTTTTTTTTAAGACTAACACTTAACCTGCTCACTGGGGGGGGTTTTAAATAGAAACTCTTTACAAAAACTAACTTTTTCAACTTAACTTTTGAAAATGTTCTGGAAATACTGCGTTCTTTAAATATATATCAAATTAAAGCTTTTTTTATGTACTATAAAATGAAAAAAAAAAATTTGTTCCGACGACCTATCTTCTATGTGTAAATGGCTACCGTATTCAAAAATATGCTATTTTTGTATTAAAATTCTGGGTTTTGTATTTTATTTTATTTTAAAATATTTTATTAGGGGAATACACTGACTATCATGAATATTATATAATTTGATTGACATAGAATTAAGTTCATAAGACATAAGAAATTAAACTTACTAAAATTTTTTTACTCTTTTAAAGTCGAAAAAGTAATTTTTAAATTTGAGTTAACTTAAATAGCTAATTTATCATGCGAGAAGAGCAACGAACAGTTGCCGAATGGGTAACACCTGTGTCTTTCTTGCTTAGGGTATGAGGTTCAAATCCGTCTGTGGTAGTTAATATTTTGCATTTTTTTTTTGAGTTATAATAAAATTTTCAAATCATTTGATATTTATCTCATTTAGATTCAATAACTTCAATAAATATAAAGGATCCTATCACTATAGTCTTCCCTCGTGAGAAGAAATTTATATTCATGTTATTATTATTTTACTATGTAGTTTTTTTTGTGGCTACGATTTATTTTGCCAACCCTCAATAGACCTACTTTTTTCAACAATACGTCAAATGATTACAATTTGTATTTAGTTTAAGTTATTACTCTAAAAAATCGAAAAAATATTCCTTATTCAAATAAAAAGTAGCTTAACCAGCTTTTTCCATACAAACAATTAAAATCATTCATTTCTAATATTCTTAAAGTATTTATTGTCGAATTAGATTTGATATGATAAAAGTATTCAACTACAAAAGTAAATAATTATACTTTGTAATTTATTAATTTTTTTACTCTATTTGTGTGTACTACTACCAGTCTATAATATTCCGAATTTGTTTGTAATATGTTGCTATATAAATCATAAATTTAAAAGAAAAATGATATTTAGTTTCACCTGAATTTAAAGATGGATTTTTACAATTATAATCAAATTTTATATTACGCTCAATTGAGTAAATCTTTTTAACAACTTTGTTTTAATTGGTTCATTTAGTTAAAGTAAATCATTAAAATTAATTAAGTTCTGAATATTTCAATTGCAGAATCTTTTTAAACACCAAAAGTTATTAGGAAATGATAACTATTATTTCTATTTCAGTTATCTATTACGATAAAAATGCAAAAAAAATCGAATTTTTCTGATAAATAGTTATTAGTAATTAAACTGTAAATAGTAATTATAAAATTTCCGGATTGCATATTAATCTTAAAAATTTCATTTTTTTTTTTTATTAAAACTTTCACTTTAAAGGACAAAAAAAAGTAGGTTCAAAATGATTACTTTTAACATATTAAAAATCAAAATCAATAATAGTTTAAAAAAAACTAATTTTAAAAATTATATAATATATAATTAAAAGAATTACTAATCTGGGTATAATTAAGGAAATAGAAGTTGATGTTGCTTTTGTAATTATTCATCAATTTCTTAGAATTAAACACTCTCTACAGATTTGCATCGAAGCATTTCTTATGATAGTGATTTTAATCACTGTTAGATTAAATCTGTACTGGACTCAACTATGCAACGTTCCCACTATGCCACGACCCCACTGTGCAGGGTTTTTTTTTTTTTTTTGAAATGTCACTTATACTTCATGAATTCTAAACACTTCGTATTATATTAAATATAGGTTATATCTCATCGTCACTCAATTCTGACCACCTTTTTTTAAAAAAATGATTTATTTTTTTTATTGCATGTAGTTTAAAATTTATTTTATAATTAATGTAAGAGATTTATAAATTTGATGATCAAGCAATTTATGTAAGTATACATTTCAAATGTGTTGAGATAAAAATCTCATAACATCAGTTACTTAGTGTTAGATCTAGTTTGATAACATAGTGTGCGACTGAGAAAAACACGTTATTGTGTCAAATTTAAAGAGAAATTATTAAAATATAATGCTAAATACATCAACAAGATATATTTTTTGATCTTTTGGCGTATCGTTGAACAATAGCAGTCCAGTAGATACAGCTATGGATAGACACAAGCAAAAAACACATCATAGCAAAACTAATACCTTCTCAGTTTTCTATCGAAACTAAGTGTATGAAAATTATTTTTATATATACGTACCTCACCAGATTTTTTTTTTTTGACGCCACTTATATAATGTTAATATGTTACCTCTATTTTTTTTTTTTTTTTTTTGATGGCGATATTTTTTTATTACTCCCCATTTTTTTANNNNTTTTTTTTTTTTTTTTTTTTTGTAGCGATATTTTTTTATGATTCCCCATATTTTTAGTGACACTTATATAGGAATACAACAACAAAATTTGTTTCTTACTATGTAATGATAGCTTTGCAAATAAGATAAAAGCAAATAATCTAATATCATATATACAGGTACAATATAATATCAAAATTTCAAAAATATGGCCTAACCGATACCTAAATGACATGATGCTGAATTCAGATATGTTTTCAGAATTCTTATCGCATCAGTAGTTTCGTCATACTGATGGAACAAAAACGGGTTGTTTTTTACTAAAAAGCGGTCAGTACCCAGACGCCTTAACCTAAATTTTATTTCTCAGTAAATAGATTTAAATGAGAAATTCTTAGATTTTTAAACTTTAGATATTTTGAGAATTTAAAATTTAATAGTTAACTTTGGTGCATAAAAAATAATCCTTATAGTTTAATGATTCTATATAAACAAATATTCTGTTTAGATGTTTAAAAGTGGTAGATTAAACTAACTATAAATTTTAATGAACTTATATTTCTAGTTATTGTGTTAAAATTTAAACTTTCTACCTAAACTCTAGAATTAATAACATGTTCACAGGTATTACAGACAAAAAAGCTGTAACATCTATGTTAGAGCTTGATGTAGGTAGTATTAAAGGAAAATCATACTCAGTAGACATTAGAGATTCTGCCATTCAGTGGATAAATGATTTAGAATCAGATGTAGCATATAAAAGATGGCCATCTTCAATTGATGATTTACTTAGACCTACATTTCCAGGCATGTTACGAAGCATTAGGAGAAATCTTTACAATCTAATAGTTATTTGTAATCCTGCCTCTAGAAACTCTTGGTCATTACTAAAATTATCTGATTCATTTTTGGGACATCTCAGTCCATTGAGAATAGGTATTGTCTTTGATGTTTCACCAAAACCAATAACAGGCTTAACAAGTGCTAGTGTAGCATTATTAAATGCATACAATTATATTGTTGAACAAACATCAAAGCCATCAGTTGCATTTAGTTTTATAACAAATGTTTATACTACAATTAAAGAAGATAGAGATGTTATTGTAACTGATGTTCTATCAGAATTTAAAAAATTATACCCTAAAGCAGTTATTGATGATATTTTTGGTGAAGATAGTGATTATGATACTGCGCGAATGCTGGCTAAAGAATATATAGGGAAAATAGGTTTTAGAAAATTGCCTCAAGTACTACTAAATGGTGTACCTTTACAAGAAAAATCTTTAGTTGAAGAAGATTTTGAAGAAGCTGTGTTGGTTGAGTTAGTGCAACAAACTCAAATTTTACAGAAAGCTGTTTATAAAAGAGAACTTACTGATGCAGATAGTGTTGTAGATTGGTTAATGTCACAGCCAAATGTAATGCCTAGGTAAAATTTTTTGTGATAAAATGTTGTAAAAATAATTTTAGTTATTAAGGAGATGGATAAGAACTGTCCACCTCAGACCTGTAGGTTGTGTGCATTTTATACCGAATTATAGTAATTTGGCAATTTATCTAGTCGATTTTATCTTTTTAATACTCTTCTTCTTTTTCCTTGTCTTTATCCCAATTACTTGGGATCGACCATCCTTATCCTAAACTTCTACTTGTCACAATCTCCCACTTCAGCTGTCCTCATATTGCATTCAATAAAGTCTTTATATGAGGACAAGAAAAAGTTTCTTTTGGTATTCTTCTACCTCTTCATTCAACATTCATTTCTATAACTTTTCTTATAGCTTCCGATTCCACTTTCCACATAACATGACCAAACCATTTAAGTCTATTTTCCCTCATCTTATCCACAATTGACGCTACACCTAACTCCTTCTTATATGTTTGTTCCTTATCCTATCTTGTCTAGTCACTCCACTCATCCATCTAAACATTTTCATCTTTGCTACACTTATTCTTAATCCATTTCCTTTAAGAGTAAATTTTGATCTCCACATTTCTGTTCTTTGATTAATTTCCTCCCTATTTTCTCCTATTAAAACTATATTGTCCGCTAACATCATGCACCACGGTACTTCTTCTTGTATTTCTCTAGTAATTTCTTCCATCACTATAAAAAATAAGTAAAGGCTTAAAGCAAAACCTTGGTGCACTCCTACTCTTACCCTAAAATGTACTGTTATTCCTCTCACACTTTTTAAGGTGTGAGGTATCCTCATATTATATTAATGTACCTTATTGGCACTCATTTTCTCATTAAAAATATAATATAAATAATAAATTCCTTAATAAAATATTTCAGACTCAATTCCCGTATCTTGAACCCAGATTCAACAAAAACCTTACAGTTAGCAAATTTCCAGGGATCAATTTCAGATACAATTTTATATTTCAGTTTTTCTAAGAAAATCACTATTTATCCAATAACTCACTGGATTGTTGGAGATTTTTCAAATGTATCTGCTATTAAATTAATCATAAATGTTTATGAACATTTGGTTAGTATGTCATTATTTATGAAAAATATGATAGATTATGTATATTTGAAAGTCAAAATATTTTTTAATAATACATCATTAATATGTGTAATTATTTTTTCAGAAATCTGAATCAGAATCTCGTGTTGGTATTATACCTAACCTATCTAGTAATGACGAATATTCCATAAAATTAAATAAAATTATTTTGGAAGCATTTAATCAAAATGAAAAATTATCTGTTTTGATCCAATATTTATCTCAAACAGTTTCTTCAAAAAAAGATTATATTGAGATTATCAAAACACTGCCTGCAAGTTTTTATATTTTATATTAATTTGAGTTTAAATTTATAAATATATAAAAAGAATATGATTTCTAATATTTCTTTTACTCAGGAGGAGTTAAATTTTGATATATCAAATCAAGATTTAACAATTTATTCTAATTACTGTGCTGATATACTAAAATTTGATAAAGGACAACATGGTGTTATTACTAATGGCCATATTTTAGGACCTTTTGATAATGATGAAGAGTTTCTTGTCGATGATTTTGCCTTATTAGAACAGCACACCCTTAAAGGAAGTGTAAACAAAATTTTAAATATACTTAAAGATTCTGGTAATTAATATAAAACTAATATCATAAATTGTATATTTATTCAACTTGAATTTTTTAGATGTATCTGATATTACTAGTGATATGATAATGAAAGCTAGTACATTAATAAGTAGTCGTCCACAAACAAAAAATAGACATTCTATACCTGAAGTATCAGATAAATATAGGTATATTTTATTCATATATTAATTAGAGTAGTCATTAAAAATTATTTTTGATCCATAGTGTTATAAAATTATCAGCTCAAAATGAAGATGAACCAGTTTTTGAAATCAATGTTATTGTTGATCCTATTTCTAGAGGAGCTCAGAAGATTGGTTCTATTATATCAGTGCTATCTCAAGTTCTTAATGCTAATATAAATATTTACCTGAATTGTGTTGATAAAAATAGTGATATGCCTTTAAAAAGGTTTGTTTAGTTAATATATTTAAAAGGTTGAGTAAAAAAAAGATGTTTATTGGACATTGAAAACTCTTTTCAAGTACTAATTCATGACATAAATATTATTTATCTTAAACATTTATTATGCAATATTTATAATGTAAGAACTATTAAAAAAAATATTTTGTTTAATATCTTTATTAATTCAACCTATCATTTGAAGGGCTTGGGTGCAACAACCAAATAAGTCAATTTTTTTTTTTTGGAATGAAGTTTATTACTGCAGGTTGGGATATGGTATAAGTTTTGCAGTGGGTCCTAACTCAAAAAAATGACAAGTCGAGTAATATAGTTTTATAACAAAAAAGCTATGATGCTGTTCTATACATATCCATTTTTATATATAAGTAAATAGTGTATAATACATTTCTCGTTCTCTTTCATTTGTTCTGACTCATCCATTTTTTTACCAACCCCTCTGCTTTACATACTTATTCACTCTCATTTATATACAAGTGACAGGATACAAACATGTACATTAATAGTTTTTATAAATAGTTCTTTGATTACAGTTATCAATATTTTAATAAAAGAAAAAAAAATTAAGATACTTAAATTTGAGAAGTTTTTTATTTAATTCAATATTTAATAATTTGAATCACTATTTTTTTCCTTTTATTTTTCAAAATACTATACTTATAAATCAAAATCCATAAGCAAAATTCAAATAAAAAGTAAAAGGATATAAATTATGTAACATTTAATATTTTTTTAGCAATTTGTGTTACTACTATTTTAGCCAAATAACTTTCCTATTTATTATTGAGGATAAGCAATTTTATCAATCATTTTTATTAAAAGAAATGTTCTTTCTAAATTGAATATATCCACAAATAATAGGTATAAAAAACTTGTTTTTGTACTGAATTGCTCAAAAAAATCATATTTATTCAAAATTAACAAAAAATAAGTTTCTTAAAAAGTTGAAATTGTCAGGTTGTTGGACCAAACCTTTCATTTATCAACTATGTATTTTTCAAAAAACTTAGTTTATAAAATAATTATCTTAACGCTTACATACTTTTTTTTTTTAGTTTTTATCGTTTTGTACTTGAATCCCAAGTTACTTTTGATAAATCTGGACACTTGTCTCCTAATCCTATAGCTAAGTTTACTAATATGCCTACTAGTCCTTTATTGACACAAATTCTTCATGTCCCTGATAACTGGCTTGTTGAATCTGTATCATCACCATATGATCTTGATAATATTCGTCTTGAAGATGTTGAAATGGGAGTTTATAGGTATAAATTCAAAATTTCCTATTTCACAATCAATGGTTTTTTATACTTTAAACATTTATATTTGTTATAGTCGTTATGAATTGGAGTATCTTTTGCTTGAAGGTCATTGCTATGATGCAATTAATATGAATCCTCCTCGTGGACTTCAAATGACTTTAGGCACTAAGTTAAATCCAGTAATGGTTGATACAATAGTTATGGCAAATTTAGGATATTTTCAGTTAAAGGCTAATCCTGGAGCTTGGACATTAAGACTTCGCCAAGGACCATCAGCTGATATTTATGATATTGTATCAAGTGAAGGATCTGAGAAGTCTACTAATAATAGTGATATTAAAGTACTAATAAGCTCTTTCCGCTCACATATATTGAAAGTTAAAGTTGCCAAAAAGGCTGGAAAACAAAATTTAAGTGTATTAGGGGATGATAATGCTGAAAATAAAGGTCTATGGAATTCTATAACCAGGTACATTCATTATATGTCATATAGCAAAATAAATTGTTTCTTAGCTTCACATCAAAGCTAAAAGTGGTAAATAAGTTTGTTAAACAATATAAATTTTTTTTAGTTCTTTCAGTTCAGGTTCTTCTGATCAAGCAGCTGATGAGACAATAAATATATTTTCTGTTGCTTCAGGCCATTTGTATGAACGTTTTTTAAGAATAATGATGTTGAGTGTTTTGAAGAATACCAAATCACCTGTTAAATTTTGGTTTCTTAAAAATTATCTATCTCCCACATTTAAAGTAAGTACTTTTCATGCTATTGATATTTTTATGATATATAATTATAGAACTAATTTTTATTTATGAAGGATTTTCTTCCTGTTATGGCAAATGAATATAAATTTCAGTATGAATTGGTTGAATATAAATGGCCTCGTTGGTTACACCAACAAACTGAAAAACAAAGAACTATTTGGGGCTACAAAATTTTATTTTTAGATGTTCTTTTTCCATTGGACGTTAAAAAAATTATATTTGTTGATGCAGATCAAGTAGTAAGAGCAGATATGAAAGAGTTAGTAGATTTAGATTTGGGTGGTGCTCCATACGCATACACTCCATTTTGTGAAAGTAGAAAAGAGATGGATGGATTTAGGTATGTTTAAAATTATAGGTTTATTATGTTAATTCTACTATTATTTCCTTTAGTAAAATTTTTTTCATTTATAAACAGATTTTGGAAACAAGGATATTGGAAAACTCATTTACAAGGTCGTAGATATCACATTAGTGCTCTTTATGTTGTAGATTTGAAACGTTTCAGAAAAGTTGCAGCTGGGGATAGATTAAGAGGACAATATCAAGCTCTCAGTCAGGATCCAAATAGTTTATCAAATTTAGATCAAGTAACAAAATATACATAGATACGGTTTATTTACTTCTGTTATAAATAAAATGAGATATTTTTTTTTTTACTTTATAGGATTTACCAAACAACATGATACATCAAGTATCTATAAAAAGTTTGCCACAAGAATGGTTATGGTGTGAAACATGGTGTGATGATGAATCGAAAATTTTTGCTAAAACTATTGACTTAGTAAGTTTAAATAATTCATATGAATATTTGATATACATGTATATTAAGGTCTCAGTGAAAAATTCAAGTTATTTATAAAGTATAATGTATATTTCCCCCCAAAATGGTAAATATTTTTATTATTTTCCAAATATAAAATTTTAGACCAAATTTTAACTGTTATACACATAAAGGGTGGTCCCTTTATTGTAAATCAATCAATTACATGCAAAATAAACACAATATTGAAAAAAAAAATGTTGGTTTTTTTTAGTTACATATATTTTTTTATTTATCACCTATTAATTACTTTTAGTATTATTCTTTATAATTTATAGAACCTTAGATTTAATTTTTTTAATTGCAACATAAATATTAACTAGATTATAATTTTAGAGTCAAGTACAACTTTTGGATTAGTATTTCGAAAATTATGAAAAATTTTGTATATAAGTGGGGAGGAAAGTGTGGCCATTTATTAGATAATGATCTAATTTAAAAAATGGCTGGTCAATAACAACTACCAAAAGTTATTGACATTTTTATATTTAGGACGAGGAGTGCATCTGATAAATATCTAGTGATAGAAACAACTTCATCTGCACCTCACCTCTAACCATTACTTTAAATTATTAATAAATTCCAAAATACTAGTCCAAAAGTTGTTATCAATCAGTCTTTTAATAAATTAGATTATTATCTAATAAATAAACTAATGTATTATATATTTTCCCACTTTAAAAAATAAGTCACCACCATCATATGGCAGAAGAAGGATGAACTTAATAAAATACTTAATGATTGATAAATAGAGATGGGCAATAACTAAGTTCTAATATATATAACCTAACCCAAACTTAGGTGTTAAACTCTCCACCTTACAAACATTTTTTTTTTTATTCAAACAACCCTCCTTTCTATAAATAATCTATATGAACACCAATGAGAGATAAAATTAAATAATAGACATGTACTGTGAAGAAAAAATATATAAATAAATGAATTAACTAATAAACTAAATTATTTTCTAGTGTAATAATCCATTGACAAAAGAAGCTAAGTTGACAGCAGCTATGAGAATTGTGAGCGAATGGAAAGATTATGATAATGAAATAAAGAGTCTTCAAATTAAACAAAGTAAACATGAAGATGAAATTATTAATGAAGAAGATCAATCAACAGGTATTAATGAATTTATTATATCAATATTTTTATTTAAATTGGACAAGATAAATAAATTACACAGTACAGTGTGTCGTTGGATATACACTATGTTATCAACTTATACAGATATGTACCAGAATTGAAAGTGAAAGTGTAGTAAGGTCATCAATATAAATTCTCTGATTGCAAAATCTAGTCTCATACTAAGCCTCTTTTATTCACATGATTCACAGTACACATTCCTAGACTGTCTCTTATTCTCAAGCGGTCCTATGAAATTTACAGAAGACCTCTCTAATTATTTTTAACAAATTTATAGAAATTACATATATATCATAAAATATCAATACATGATTTTAAAAATTGTATTTTTCAAAAATTAAATTATTACAGCAATCAACTAATTTGTATATTGTATTTTCTTTTCAGATCAAAATAATCACACTGAGTTATAGTACATCTAATGTTTGTTATATTTTAAATCAATACATGTGCAAATGATCTTTTTGCCAATTACATTTGTGTATCAATTTTTAAAGTATCAATTTTTACTATTTATTCTATTGTCACCAAATGTTTTTTACCATGTGATTTTGTTAACAAAATAAGATATGAAAATAAGTATACTTTAAACAACACAACAATGTAAACTATAATATTATTTTTATTATAATCATTTATTTTACAAAACACCTTGAAAATATATTTATGTTTCATCTAGTATAATTTCGAATTATTTTTATAAATTAATCAGTTACAAACTTGACATTTTACAAGATTTTTACAAGATTGACATTTTACATAACAGCAATAGTGATATTTACAGTTGCAATGTTCTATTTGTTCTATTACTTGTGTGGTATAGCCTCTGCCACAACACATAATGAAACAATTTTCAGAACCAGCTGATGTTGCATTACATTTTCTAAAAAAAATTAGAACTACTATAATAGTTTAAATTTTATACATTTTTAAACCAAATCAAAATAAAAAAATACAGCAAGTAATTTTCTTTCCCATATAAGTCACTATTTGTATTTTTTCAGTGGCGTATTTACGGATACGTCCATAGTGTCTAGATCCCCATGGGCATACAATCAGTGTAATGGGTGGTAGTGCAAGAGTGATGTCCCCTCTACTCTAAGCTATCTGGACCCCTCATACAAAATTTCTAATTACACTACTGTATTTGTTACTAGTACTTGATGCTACAATTATTATTTAATAAAATTGACATAAATCATGAAAAGTAATTATTTCTTATTATTTAATCATAATCAATGAAGATATTTTTAGATACATTGTTAATAATTAGGGTTGTGAGTTATATGCATTTATAAATTTTGCTAAGTTAATCCCGAACACACCATCATTAATTTGTATTTTCCGATGTTTTATTTTTCTCTCTCATACAAATTTAAGGACTGTTATTTTAAATTGATTTTTGAACTTTTAAAAATTTATTTAATGGTTCATAAAAAAATAAAGCTGAATATTTTTACAAAACTTAATTGATTCAAATTTTATTTAAAAATCATTAGAAAAGTAAACTATAGCAAAAATATTACTTGATGAAGTCACAATTTCGGAGGGAATTGTAAAATAATTTATATGTATATTTCATAAGGACAAATTCTGAGTATATTTCTGTAAATCGTATTTGACATTTTTAAAAAAATGTGTTATAATATCTCTATCTATTGTCTAGAAACAAGTAATTAATATATGCACTGTTTGTAAGATATCTATGTAAATATTCATTAATTGAATTATTGATTGTTCTAAGCATTTAATAAAAACTAACAATCGCATACCTGCCCAAAGTTCCAACGCTGCCTTTCTTCAAATCATGGTTACAATAATCTGAGGAATCCGTTACGTATACTAATGAATTTCTCGTTTGTTCTGGTAACCCTGTTCGGGCTACTTGACTAACTTCAACTTTCACTGTCATCTTATTATAATGTTTCAATAACTTGAGTCCCACTCCGATAAATTTATTTGGTAAACCTCTCCAGCACGTCTTAATATTGCACGATCCAGACATTCCATGACACTTACAATGAGTTCTCATACTAGACATAACCATCTAAATAAAAATAATTGGACATTTCGAAACAGATGCTCTAAATTACCCAAATAATGTACTTAACTTCTGTTACTAACTTTTCTTCCGATTTTATAATTATGTTCATTGATAATATTCAAAGCTTTTAGCTCGCGACGAACCGTTTCATCATTTGAATTTGGCGACAAATCAATGTCGTTTTTACTGTAAGAACTATTGATTTTTTTAATGAATGAGTATTCGCTTTTCGTAAACTGTCTTGAAAACTTTGAACCCCATCGAACATTTTCGTCACATCCACTCCATTTAAATGTTCCATCTGTAGCTTCTGGATGTGTACCGCATCCGCAATTAGGTATTGCACCCGTTGCGCAATCTTTAGTTATTGTGTAAGTCATAGCTGCTGCGCCCAAAGCATACACTAATGACTGCTCTTTGGTTCCTGTATAAATAAAACACTCTTAAAAAAAAAATTCCTGATTTTCACATACATGTACTGGAAGTTTTAAATACATACAGTGTAAGGAAATATTTTAATAAATAGTGATCAGATACTAATTATTTTCTAGTTACGGTGGGGAGGCGAGTGGGTATCATTGCCCCGAGCAGCAATTTTTTTCGAATTAAGGGGCGGCAGGATTTTTTTGTAACCAAAATATATAACATAAAGGTGGGAGTATGTTGGGAAGGCACTAAAACTTTACCTGGTACGTCAAAACTCTAAATATGTCTTTGATAGTGAAAAATAGTATATTTGTGTACGAATACATTATATCAAACTTACATTACTTGTATATTTAAAAATACCATACTGACACAGGGAATTTTTGAATCACTTCTTACAGTGTACATAAGTTATTTAAAGAATTGTGTAGTAAAAGTATAGCTAATAAATATTCAACACAGATTAAGCCTTCATGTCACAGAAAAGAAGGTTTTATTTAAACCTATAAGTAACATGTCAATCTGTAGGTACAACTTTTCAATACTGCCGACTAAAAACATAACATGTGTATGTATAAAATTATAGGCTTAGGTATTTGTATTATTTTAATAAAAAAATCTTTTTCTTAAATGCAAGTAAGAAACCAGTTATTTAACCTTTAATCAGCTCGGGTGTCAATCTTGGAGCAGCTTTGACGGATGAACAATTCCACCGCCTGTTTTGTAAAACAGCTTGGCAAGCGGCAACAGCTAATGTTGCTGCTTTGGATATTTGTTGCATGACCGGACGCCATGTTTTGCAAATACGCGTTTGACGTGAATCCAAACCGTAATCCTTTCGCAATGTTCGACAGACACTTGTATTGTTCCAGTCTAATTTCGCCTTTCGCATACCTCTTAAATGTAAATAATTCTAATTAAACATTGTCGAAAAGTAATATTTATAAGATATAATTATTGTGTAAAAAAATTCAAACTATGGAGGTATTTTACAAGATATTAGCGCACACGTAGAATAGTTCACCCCAATACTTATCTATTATTTTGACAAATTAATTAATAAACGACTAAATTATTTTAGCCATATCCTATAATTATTTATTGATTATTCGAAACGGATTATTTATTTCAATTCCATATTGGAGTCTGTTACAAGTTACAAAAAAATATGATGTGTTAAATGATAAACGCAAGAAATCTAATAAACATTTTTTTTAATTCCCCAAAATTTGCGTAAATCAATTATTGACTATTTTCATACATTTGATACATTGATAATCAAACAGTTACTTTTGAATGCTTATAGATAACCTACTTATTTGAGGTTAGGACTTTTTTCTATCTTAAAACTCAGCTGTATTAATTTTGATACTCTTAAACAAAATTACACTATGAAATGAAAATTTAAATATCCTTCGTATAGATCTTAATATTAAAATTTATACAGTGGATGTTAACATTTTTAACGACCTGTAATATTACACACCTTTATATTAAAATGTAAAATGTTCTTCAAAATAATAGAAAATAACAATTATAACATATTACATCTTGTGGCCTATTCATGACACCTAATTTGTTTATTTTAATGTATCTAGTAAGCAACAATTATATTAGTATGCATAATTATAACATGACAAAAAATTTTTAATTTAGTTATATTATTTTTTACAAACTATTTACATTACATAAGTTCTCGTAGGTATTTTCCATTAGATGAATAAAACACCATTATAAACATAAATAAATAACAAATCTTTGACATTTTTTGAATATTCAACTTAGGACACACACACACATAATGTTGCGTTGCATAACGTTTTATTTTAGTATACTATATACTAATCTAAAAATCCATTAGATGTGCATACACAATTATAATAATATATTTTAGGTGTTAGATTGTATACATTATTTATACATTCGATTGAAGGAAATATATTTACAATAAATACATTCCTATTTTATTACAATAAAGTAATATAATATTTTACACGAATATCGGTGAACCACTAATTACTGAATAAAAAATATTGGCATTATTCCAATATAATTATAATTTATGATATTTTCTAGATTTTAGTACTTAGCTTAATATATAATTTTTTTTAATTAGGTAAATTAATTAATTTTAACTGTAAAAATGTTCTATATTAAAGTAATTGCAGTTAGTTAAGTTATAGAAACCATAATTAGTATAAATATTAGTGGATTGTCATTATTTTTGTGTTGTTCGAGGTTCTGAAAAATAATTTGCATTTAAAATGTATAAATAGATATTTTGATCGAATCCTGTACACATATTCTGTATAATAAATGTCGGTGTTTGAGAGTTCTTACCAAAAATAGGACCTTCGGCTTCTTCGTAAATCCAGTTCTACGTTATTTTTATGGGTTGCTTAGTAGAGAATTTCAATTTTAGTTTCAATTCTACCTTTACAAAAAACTAATAATTCAAAAATTGATGTATAATAAAGTATAGTTAGGCTTTACAGTATTTTTAAAAACTCATTTATTGAAATATCCCATGTTTGTTATTAAATTAATACACCATTTTAATAAAATTTTATTAAATTTATTGTTTTACTTAAATAGAGTTAATTTTAATCGAATTTTTTAATTTGCTTGTAATTTAAGTAGTTGTTATACGTTTTAGTCGACGTCTCGTGATATCTATATACCAATTCACTCTAAGGTGTGAAATGTAGGAGAGGCTTTAGTGGCGCAACAAGGATTAGATTATAGGGTACAACCTTTGACCGAATAATTGGCGGTGGTTCTGATAGAATCATTTAGTCATGCATGACTTTTTTAAGAATACAACCAATATAATTGTCAAATCAATTTTTTTGCTTATTCATCATCTTCTTAGCCTTTATTCCAACTATTTCAACATGGACAAATAATAACCTCTTAAAAAAATAATTTCTGATTACACCAATGTTTAAATTATACTTTAACATGACATAAAAAAACTTTTTTAAATAAAAATTTAAATAAACCACAGTCAACAAATGTTGTGAGTGACATTACTACGGTGATAATAAAATGGTGGGGTCGCAAAAGTATACTTTTAAAACCCTACCAAAAACTTTTCTGTGTTCTTAAAATTCAAGATGTTCAATGATACACTTTTGCTAATTATTGCGAGACTATGTAAGCAAAATATTGTATGATTATATAATGATTCGTTATGAACCTGTTGATCAGTCAATTAATAAAAGTTTCAATCGAGTGGGAACCACTTAATGAAGATCAGTATATTTTCTTAATAAATTTTTGTTTGTTTATCGGCTGTGGTATCAACAGGCTATTTCGTCTTTCATAGACAACTATTTATGGCAATGTCTATTATTATTACTAACACATTACGAAGTAATTTTGTTATCTAGAGTCAATGTATAACCGCCCTATGTTGTCAACAGCTGCCATATTTATAATTTTCTTACAATTTATATTAAATTAAACACTACAATAATTTTTTTATTTTATTATCATTATTATTCATCATGGAAAAATATAAAAATAAATATAATACATCCCGTTTACCTGTTCTCTTTACACAAGCATGGCTTATCAAAAAGGACATTAAAGATAAATTAATGACAATAATATAAAATATAAGGTTTTGCCAAGCTTAAGATTATTTGGCCCATTCTTGTAAGCAATCACTGATTATACAATACTATACAATACGTATATAAAACGCAATAAGCGTTTGCAGAAAAATATTACATCAGAATAACAAAAATGTATTAAAAATGTAATTATTAAAATTCTAAAAGAGAAAATAATAAAATGTATTGGGTATAAGGTTGACGTTTGTTACTGAGGTATTTGTTACTTGGGGAGTAATCAGAAATAATTTTAGGAGGGTATTTAATTTTTTTTACTTTGATAAACATGCTATGGAAATTTTTTTGCTAAAAATCAAAGTGATAATCAAAAAAAAAAAGTCATTAGTAACATATTTTATAAAAAAATATTGATTGGTTCAAGAGGGGCAACGGCCCATTTAGACTTAAATACACCCCTGGTATACACAATAATTAATAATATTCTAATGATAATTATTGCATTAATATTATAGAATGATTAAAAAAACAAAATTGGCAGGTTATATATGTGACTATGTAAAAAAGTTAATTTTGATAAGAATATTGGTTGCTGTGATATAACGTTAGACATCATAGTTTTCATAGATGGATCCCAGTTTTTACATAAATTTATACACCCAGAGAAAAACCTCGATCTATATAATAAATTCATTGTTCAATTTGATAAATATATCATTACTATTGAATCTATGATATATTTATCAATATGATGATTTTTTTTCCTGTCTTGAACAATAATTATTCATAAGAATAATTATTTTATTCGTATTAATAAAACATTATCATAAACCCTTGATAAAATTTCTCTATCAAAATTGATTGAGGTTTTTCTTTGGGTGTAGACTTATATATCATATATGAGATAAATAAGATTATTAATACTTTACTGTTTTGATAATATTGACCAAACTTATATACTCATAATCGCCCTGAAATATATGTATAACTTATCAAATATTCTTTGATAAAATATACAAAATAAATTACTATGCGGAAATACAAAATCGTATCCTAATATAAACATTGTGCGGAGATAAAAAAAAACAAAAAACCTTGTACAACGGTAAAAAATGAACGGAATGAATTAATTATTTATGATATCTCAGAATATTTCTTTGGGCAGGTCTGGTAAAAATTTCAAACCTTAAGTTGTAAAACGCTGATATTAGCGAGCGTTTTTCTCGAAAACGGTCAAGATTTTAAAATGCTCGCAGGCGAACGCCAGAAATTTTTCAACTTTTGCCAATCATTTTCATGGAGTCTCGTGATCGAGTACTTTTGTTGGAAAAAAATTATTGGTAATTGGAGCATGCTAATTAATTATCTCAGAACAGCGTTTTTTTCTTGTTCTATCATATAATAAGATTTAGTTAAGTGAATTATTTTTTATGAAATTGAAAAAGCAACCATATACTAAAGTTTTTTAGTTCGCGTGCATTTTTTGGTGTTATTTTTATGAATATAGAAACTCAGCCACTAATTAAAGGGAAAACAAAAATGTTTAAAACCTCCCAGAATATTTTTTAAAATTTGACTCAAATTAAGCCTCTAGTTGTTGCTAATTAGAAATAGGAATTTAAATATTGTTAGTCTTATAACATGATTTATTATAAGATTATGATTTAGAATAAAATTAACCATTTTATTTTGGGCGTGGTCTAATTATTAATTAAAAAGACACAGATATTTCAAGGTTGAATAAGAAAAAAGTAAACAATGAATCATCTGATGAATACGGCTGTATTCAAAGGAAAAATAGTACCTTTTGTCTACACCGTAGTATTGCTTTTTTTGTAATGATATAACACGAAATAGAAATAGCATAGTAGACTGATGACTAGGCAATTCCTATTTTTAATATCATTAAGAAGCACTTTTACAACATAACTAAAGAAACGTTTTAGTAGTTTTTTGATCGTATGATAAATTTTATTTGCATGTAAATTAAACGTACTAAAATAGATAAAGACTTGAATTATAGGTTATTACAACTGATGGTTCAACAATAAATGAATACTTAAACATTTTTCATCTTTTTACAAAAATTAAATATTTTTTTAAATTTTTTTACAAAAAAATCTTTTCATACAAAAATGTAATAGAAGAAAAACATAAGTTTAGATAATTAATCAATGCTTTGATTAAATAGAAAATAAAAATAAAATCTATTTTTAATCCTGGCAGTTATTTTTTATTAAATATTATAAGCTTATAAATAATTGTATTAATTTATTCAAACATGATAAAACCGGAATCAGGGTAAAAAATAATAAAAAGATTTTCCATCAATGTGATGTTTAACTTTGAATAATATTTCTGAGAAATACAAATTATAATAATTTATATTCGTTTTTAGTACTTTCACTTAGATTTCGAACGTATTTTAAATTTATAATAATCTTAAAACGATAAAAATTATTTTATTATATTTCAAAATTATAAAGTCAATTTTTTTATTATACATATGCTATTATAACAACAAAATTATATATTTGTTAATATTGTCTCGGTTAAACAATTTTTTTTTTTACATTATGATTGTAGTTTAGTTAATTATAATAAAATAATTTTTTTTTTTATTGTTTCCCCATGAGAAATGATTATTTTTATGCAACTAACTATGAAAAATGTATGATCTAATGTTTAAAAAATTTGTTTTACCGAGATATTTTTTTAGTCGCAGTGATTTAATATACTTTGTTTTAATATTCATTTTTACTAATTTCTCAGTATATTCATGTTATTATCCTTACTAAATTATGAGTGTTATTTGGTTGGGTAGGGTTGGATTTAATCTTCTCCATAAATACTATATAAGTATTTCTAGGGTATACATTAATTAAAAAATATAAGTAAGTATATACCGTATACCACCCAAAACGTCATTACTTGTGGTGAAAATGGTTTGTGAAAATTAGGTTACGTTAGTAGGTTTTAGGAATTTTTCTCAAAATATTACATTATTGTATAAATGTGGCAAATTCTGTTAGTTAACAATTTTTTGATTTTGGAATTATTCACGACGAATAAAGAAAATATAATACTGTTTTTGAAGAATAAAAATTTACATCAGATATATGCATTCTGCTAGATAACAAACTGATTTAAAATATTTTTGTTCTAAAATTTTAATTTATTTGAATTAATTAAAACGTATTCATAGTTCTATTATTTTTAATTTTTTTTATTTGTTAAGCCATGATAAAATTTTACATTTTTAGAATAATATTTTTTTTAAATATATGTTGTTAAAATATTATGTGGTAGACAAATTTTAATGACATTTAATTCATTATCAAATATTTTTTTTATAGTGCAGATGAGTTGAAATTCATACATAATAATTCTGCTTATTAATTTCACTTAATTTTAGTCGAAGAATGGCAAAGTATTATAAGTTACATTTTTTTTAGAGAACAAATACTATTAAACAAAATTTAATTAAGATTTTAGAAATAAATTCAATGAATACACAATTAAAAGCCAACCTATTTTTTTATGGACACATGATTTTTATATTCATTAAAATACATTTTAGTAATTAATTCCTTTAGCATATCATTTATGCAATTAAATTATATCGATAAATTAGAATAAAAACCTACAAATCTTAACTTTGTTATATATTTAATTTTGAGTATTTTAAAATTGCACTTATTTTTAATTAAATTTAAATTAAAATTCATGATCATTAATTAGAGTAATTTATAAAACTCCAAGTAAAACAGTTTATATACCACTTGTGTGCATTATTAATATCTTTGTCTCAACATTAATATGAACAATATCGTGCATTCAAATCAAAATGAAATCTTGTATATTATCATAAAAAATGAACGATGAAAAAAATTATTCCTAAGGCAACATAACTGTAGTAGAGCACGTGCGATATTATGTGATATTTTTAATGTCTACGCTCGTGCCTTTAGCAAAATCTTTCATTATAATCATAAAAAGATTTAAGTAGTTGTAAAACGAGACTAATAAATTACTAAGATATTATACAAAGCGATTGAACCTCACATAATATAATACTTTTTTTTTAAATAATTCATCATATTTATTAATCAAATTGCGTTTGGAATTTATTTGCGATTACAACTTGTAATGTAACCAGCTATCTTTGAGAAGCAACCAGAGTTATTTTTATTCGCAAGTATAATATTATTGCAACGCATTTTCATCGATAATTTATGAATTTACTATTACTACAAATAAGACTAGAATATAGCTCGTAGTTTTATTACAGTAAAGATAATATAAAAAAATGTAAATTCCAGTTAAAAATATTTCTGATAACACCATAAAAAGAAATGATAAAATACAGTTTTAAACTAAGTAATTTAGACTAAGTTAAATATTACTACCAATAAATTTTACACGATATATAGTTATGAAAAATTTTATCTTGCTGAGGTTTACTAGAATTTTTATGGGTACATATTATGCATTTCCAATAAAAAAACCAACAGAATAATATATTCGAAGACTAACTAACTAGATAGTTTTTTATGGACTATCAGGTTTTATAAAAAAAAAAATTTAATAGTTTTAGATTTTAATATATAAATTAGTTTTCACTGGCGATAATTATAAATAATTTTTTAGTAGTTTAACTAATAAATTTAACAATGTATAAGTACTTACAACCATTCTATGTTACTGACTGGTTTCATGAGTGCACAGAAAAATATCAAAAACGTTAGCCAACTCCACAATATCATAGTAAACTCTTCAGGCGAAGGGATTGAAATTTTGTAATTGACGTTTTTAGAACTAAAACACTTTAATTCACAACAGTTTTTCGAAAAAATATTTCCATGACGAATGAAATTTCGAAAAATAACTAATAGTACAACAATTTTGACACTGGGCATTACACGGGTATAACTAGAATGCTTTTTTGGTTTCAATGCAACATCTCCATTACATTTTGTAGAATATGATAATATCATATACATGAAATATAATAATATTTCATTGTTACTACATTTAAGTGCCAATTGACATTATAAAAACCCTTATTTAAAAAGAGATACTCAAATACTCGTCAGGACGGTCAGAAAATATTTTTCTTGCTAGTACAAATGCGGCAATGTCATTCAACTAAATATTCTAAAAAAGTAATACTGATTAAATATTAACACTTACGAACATAATTTTATCACAATTTTATAAACATGTATTTTTTGTATTCTGTAGCCTCATTTTTAACGATAGAGGATTGAAGTGACTAACAGGTTGTTTCACGCGCAACTGAATAGTAACGCTATGCTGGAAATTGCTCTTATTCAGACTAGTTTTTCTTTATATAGGTACATATTTACTCTCGGATTAAAATCATTATTATTTTGGGGGAAACGTATGCATGTTTACATCCTTATGTCTTTGAATAAAAAATAATTATGCATAGTATGCTTGACTACAATAAAATTGTGACTCATAATTACCTATTGCATTGAAACATTAAAATAGTATGCTAATTATGTTATGAAATTGAATTTTTTCAAATTTTTAAATTGAATCGTAGCCACCCAGATATTTATAATAATTATAGACATTGCTGTATAAAAATTATTTTGAAAGGGGAAAAATTTGACTATCCTCGTCTTTGAATAAATGCAAGGAAAAGTTATGAATAAAAATTACATTTTAATTTTTTATAAAAAAGACATATAAATAAAGATCTATAAAAGTTATAAAGATGTATGGATCTATGGACCCACTGTACCAGGATTTAAAATTTTAAGGTGTATTATTCTAATTATTTCCATAAACTTTGAAAATATTTTGGTTGGGTATCCTTTGAAAAAACAAAAAATAATAAATGTATTAATACTTTAAATATTTCAAAAACCATAACCCCCTTGGAAATTTAGCAAACTTATATGCATTGTCATATAAAAGTTATTTTTTTAAGAAGGAATTTAGTCCATATAAAAATTTGACCACCCTACAGTTATGGTAATTAGAGAATCAGGATTGTTTTTCAATTTATTTTTTTTTAAATAAAGAATTATTAAACACATCAACATTTTCTCGTCTGTAAGAAAGTACCGGTAATACCAGTTACTCATTGTAACTGAAAAAAGAAATAAATCTTGTGGATTTTTAAGTCAATATAACGACATAAGTCGCATCTACTATTGTATTATGATTCGATAATTCAATTGAAAATCACACATAGTTGACCCGAACGTGTTACTATAAAACTTTTGATTGCAACTTGATTACAAAACTTATTTTAATAAGTCTTGTATACATAAAGAAAAAGTAAAAGCCGTTTTGTAAATTAGACTAATTTATCCCGTTTTTACATTATTTGTAATGATTTTATTGCTTTTTTGGATGGGAAAGTATCTATTTTTGTAGAAATTTTCATCAACACTTAATACAACCTACACTACAATATTTTTTGATATACTTAAATTAAATAAATTCAACTTAAAAAAATACTTTCGTAATATGAATCCTAAGAATTACCAACAATTAAGATTGAAAATATATTGTCTAAGCAGTGCAGAGGTGTTTTCACAAAAAACATTTTAAATTTATGATATAAGCTGATTTGTGATAACTCATCAATATAAATAGTAAATATTATTATTATTCTAGAGTATACGCTTATTTAATAAATTGTTAATGGATATACGCCGTTACAATTTGTCATAAAAAGTACAAAATCTTATGTTTTTTTGCAATGTACTTTAGTGTCAAGATCCAAAAGTCACGATTTTGGGATTATTGATAAGATGTGTAAAAAATGTCATTTTCTGAAAAATAACATGTGTATTTTAATGATAAGGCCATGTTTTACTTTGAAAATGCCAACTTCCGTTAGATATTAATGAAAATTTAAAATTGTTTGTTTTTAATCTTCTAAAAAAAATGTTACAGTTGACATATCAGCTTTTGAAAAATAACTAGGAAAGTAACATAATATATAGAAAAAATATGAAGATTATTTATTAAAATAAAATAAGGGAAAAGAAACTAAGTTTACTAAAATTTTTATGGGTTTATATTTATACTTCATTACTAAAAACTAACAAAATAATGAAGTCTGAGATTAACTGATTAGAGGTAGTTTTTTGGATTATCAGTTTTTGTAAAAAAAAATAGTTAGTGATTAACAGGTCATTTCGCACACAATAGTAGATTATAAATAGTTTAAAATAATAATAAAAAAAGAAAATAATAGGTATTGAAATAATAATCTAATATTATGAAAATTTTGAGATCTTAGTATTTACATAACTAATAGAATTTGTCAATGTATAAACATAATTCTTTTGCATTATAAATAGATTCAAAATATTTACAAAGCTACTCAAAAATTTTTTTTTTTTAATGGAATAGCAAAAAAATGCTTCATACAGAAATGAAATGAAATATAAATATAATTCATACTTTAAATTAATAAATACAATTTAAACCTTTCATGATTTACGTCCTTTTTTAGTACTAGTTTTACGTTTATTTCTTAGTCTAGTTGACGTAGTAGAAGTTGTAGTATTAGTACTATTTTTAGAACTTGTTTTATTTGTTTTAGACTTAATTTGAGCTTGATTAATTGATTGTGATTGCACTGACAATAATTGAGCATTTGTATTTTTTTTTTGTGTTCCCATATGTTGTTGAACTAAATCAGCCAGTATACCTTTCTGGGCTAGCATAGTTAAAAATGTACAAATAAATTGATCATAATTATGCGTACGTCTACAATCATCAATCTTATATTTGTTACGTTTTTCATTTTCTTCTCGTAATATCCCTGAAATCATAAAAATTTAATACAATAAATTTTCAGTTTTAAATTTAATATTACCTTCACTCATATTTATTTCTAGTTCTAAGTTTTTAACTAAAGCTAGTAAATCTTTTGGAGTAAATGTATGATTTGATTTCATTCCATTTTCTGAGGTTTCATTATTCTGTAATTCTTTATCCATGCAATGCCCAGAAGTAGTTTCCCATCCTTTTGGCATAGCACCTGCTTCTAAGCACACACTTTTTAATTCTTTTTGATTTTCATTTCCTTCGTAATTATAATCTGATGATTTCACGTGAATAACTACAATATTTCCTGATTCTGGGCATGTCTAAAATAATTATACAATAACTTAATGCAAAGCTAAAAATCCGACAAATATTAAAATAACTAAATAATTTACTTTTTCATCGTTGAAATCTTTTGAGGTACCAGGAACTGGAGACAAATCTTTTTTTATACATTTATTAGATGATAACTCATTATCACTACTTTTTCTTTTTTTTACATAATCATCCACCAATACAAGTTGTTGTAGTGCTTCTAAAACAATTTGTCTGTTTGTCTTTAACATATTTAACTTATGGGTAATACCTATTCTTTTATCTGGGACTACAGCCATTAAGTTAAATCTTATATCACTATACTCAGCTGATACACCTATTCTGTCACTTATAACTCTTCTGAACTTTTCAGTCCACTCTTCTTCTTCTGCCCAAGGACCATGATCCATTGGATATGGTTTAAGACCATCCAACTCATATAAATGACCATTAATTGGTACATAACTGACAAAATGATATGCTTCACCAGTAAATCGACCTGTTGTTAGACCAGGTGTTTTGTCCATTCGGGGTCTACTTTTTGGCATAGCATGTGAGTTGTGAGCACGTGCTAATTCTGGAGTATTACCAATAGCCCATCCTTTATTTTCAGGATCCATATCTCGTGTATGTTCTTTTAGCCTTCCCAATGTTTCTCCAAGATGAATTCCTGGACAGTTGAGCAATACTGATAACAAGGCGTGAGTAGCACAGCTATTTGGAATCATTTGCTGAGCAAAAAATATACTATTTATGGCATCATTATCTTTAACAAAAATGTCAGTTTGATCTACTATTTTTCTCCGACTACGGCGTTCTTCAATCCATCGAAACAAAAATATAAATCCATAAACGGGGCTATCTAGAAAAGGCTTTTGAAGGTCATAGATTTCTTCTAACTGAACGCCTTTCACACCAAAGTCTTCTAGCAATAATGTAAACAACCCGGGATCACTTTCTAATTCTAGCCATCCCTGAATCAATCTGTGTAGATCAACAGGCATTTTAAACAAGGTTACATAACAAATTATTTCGAAATTATTAAATATGTTATCTATTAAATGTGAATTAATTTAGTTTTAGATAAGCTGATAAATAAAATTTTCCTATCAATATTTCTGCCAACATCCAGAAAACCTAACTAATTTTTCTCCTAATAAGAACTTAATTCACATTTAAAATCAAGTAGACAAATATAATAATCGAGTGAAAATCTAATTACATACATGTTTAAATAATAGATTTTCATAATTTTTGGTAAAATTTGGTTTATTTAACCAAACTATGTATAAAAAGCATTGGAAATTGTTGAAAAAAACTTTGGGTGAAGTAGAAATAAACAATTTATGTTATCAATATTTCTATCAATAAAATAAAATGTGTCCGGCATTCTTTTTTCTTAACGGATTTCCATTTACAATGTATTATTTACTCAGAGATATAAGCTTAAGGCAAGCTTCAATTACATAAGTCTTGTTATTTTTTTCTGAATTTAAAGAAATTTTGACACTTACATTACTTATGCAATAAAATTTACTTTATTTTGTTTCAATGTTAAGTGATTTATTAATTTTTAATTGTGTAATTTTTTTTAAGCCTGTTTAAAAAAATGGCATTTGATAAATACATTTATCTATTTATTTTATTAATTATTCTCAAAGATAATAGTGCTCAAAAACAAAGTAAGCATATTTTAATTAATTAATGTTTATTATCTTTTGATATAAATAAACAATAATAATATCATGTAAATATATTATTTTTTATATTTCAAAAAAGCATATTGATATTGCCTAATATCATTAAAAGTATAAAAGTGTATAAAGTATTTTTAATTATTTTGTGGGCTGTGTTGCAAACTAAATTTTTACAATATTTCATAAAGTTAGTTTTATATTATATTTATCATAAAATTATTGTATAATTACAAAAATTTATATTTTTTAGGTAAAGTATATGATATTAGTATAGGAGAAATAAAAAAATGTTGTACTGCAGAAGATAAAACGTATCCATTACCTCCAATGTATTGTTTCCGTGGAAGTGACAAAAAAATATTGAACATTTTTCAAACCATTAAGGTGAGTTTTCAAAATTTTGTATTTAAGAAAAAATTAAAACATTATGCTTCACAGGTTGATTTATTAATAAGCAGAACTGAAGATTTTGTTATATACCAAGCTCCTAATTCTGATTTGCTAGAAGAAAAAATGTTGCTTGATGAGAGTTCATTATCTTTTAATAAAATAATCTCTTATGTATGGAGAAAAGAAAATTTTAACCTAGATCCATTTCAAACATCATGTTTTAGTATGAAGACTAATTCTGATTTCAGAATAATAATTTCTTCAAATGGTATTAAAAATATTAGAATAAAATAACTTCAGTAATACTGACTTCAAAATTTTGTTTTTTGAAATTAGTTTTAGATACCAGAAGACTGGTCATGTTTATTTTTGGGTTGGTCCTATTTGCATTGTCAGAAAAACTTAGTCATAATTCCTTATTTTATTATTTATGTGGAATATGTATTGGTGTTAGTGCCTCATTTCTAGTTATTATATTCTTTATTAGTCGTTTAATACCCAAGGTATGAATTTAAAATAAATTTTGTATTAATTAATTTTGTCTTTAAAATTATTCATTATTTGTATTAATTACAGAAAAAAATGATGTTGGGATTCTTAGGTGCTAGTTGTACTTTGAGTTTATATGGAATTCAAATGTTAATTGAAAATCTTAATTTCATTTTATTAATGTACTATCAATATGTCATTGCATACATATTGTTTGCTATTTTTATAAGTTTTGTAGTTTGCTACAGATATGGACCTGTTACTAATCCTAGATCGATGGACATTATAAGATGGACTTTACAAGTAATTTTCAAAGTTATTATAGATTTCATAAATACATTTCTAGACTTTAAAAAAATTAAAATAAATATTTAATTTCCTTCATTATATGAATTAGTTTATTTTTTTGAAATTCATGTATAATAAAATATAAATTAATTATAGGTCCCACATTAAGTTACAGCATGTATTCTGACAAAATGAAGTAATTTTTTATTTAGAGTAATTTAATGTATTATCAAATTTAGGGATTTGGATTATCTATGGTTACTATGTGCAGTTATCATTTAGAGGCAATGGTTTTGGTTGATGTTTTGAGCATTTTTATCTACTACAAAAAGGTAAAATTTCCTTTGAAATTATTCTCCAATAGCAAGCCTAAACTGAGCTTATTAACTGAAGATGAATATATTCAACAAGGGATGTCTGAAACACCAAAAGCTCTTGAAGATTTACGCAAATATTGTAGAAGCCCAAACTGTGACGCTTGGAAAGTTATGAGCAAGCTTCGAGACCCTAAAATGTAACTATATAATAATTAATACCTTGTAGGTATATTATACAATTTTAAACTTTAGGTTTGCTGAATTTATTGAAACTTCAGTACATGTAAGTGATGAAGCAATTGAAGAACATGAAAATGAAATTAAAGACGATTCTGAAAGTGAAATTGATGATAGTTCTATGGAAGGCATAGAAGAAATTAATTACACAAGTGACAGTGAAAAAGAATAAAATGATATCCAGTTTTAGTTAGTCTAGTTATTAAAAAAAACATATTGTAATTACTTTATTGTGTGCATAATTATTTATAACTATAAGTGTTTTTTTTTTAATGTCAAAGGAGTGAATTTTTTTGTATGTTGGCTGAAATGTAAATAGAATTTTTTTTATAATTATATGTATGAACATTTTTTTTATTTATTTAATTTTAGTTTAGTTTTATATTGAAAAAAAAATACTTATTATGGAAGAAAATTTTATATCTCTTGAATCATCTGGATTAAATGACTTTGATCATTTCAAAAATATTGTGACAATTACTGAAGATGGAGGTGATAAAAGTGTTAGTTACGAATACAAGCCAAAATTACAAAAATCAAATTTTATTATAGAGGATTATTATGGGAGTATTAAAGTAAAATATTTATCAATTATGTTTTAAGTTTTAAATTATTAAAAGAATATTGATTAGGATCAGAATGGAAAAAATGTTGTTATAAAGAAATATGTTTTGGTGAATGAACACGGTGTTAATATTGAAATAATTAACTATGGTGCAACAATTTTATCTTGTTGGGTTCCTAATACTTTAGGAGAAATAGATGATGTTATATTGGGTTTTGATACTCTTGATGGTAATAACTACTTATTTTTGCTCAAGAGTGTTTTCACATTAGTGATTAGGGTAGATGTATTGTGATTGGATTTTTGTACTAAAAAAATAAACTATGACTAAAAATTACTCAAAATGCTTACAAATGGGTTTTATATTTATTATATAAAACAATTTTAAAAATGCAAAAGATATTATAATTTCAATTACTAATACGGAACCTTTATATTTTTATCAGACTATCGACTTAATAATGCCCATTATATTGGAGGGACAATAGGTAGAGTAACAGATTATATAACTAATGGTAACTTTGTATCTCCTGGAGGACATATAATTGAATTGACAAAAAATATTGGTTCTCATCATTATAATGGTGGTAAAAATGGTTTTGATAAAGTAATATGGGATGGATATGTATCTGAAAATAAGTTGGTTATGACTTACACAAGTCTTGATAGTGAAGAAGGCTATCCAGGATCCTGTCAAACTCGAGTAATTTTTCAACTGACATGTAAAAATGAGCTTATCATTGATTATGTTTCAATGACATCAAAACCCACTCCATTAAATATTTCTATGAATATTTTTTTTAATTTGGCCGGACATGTAATTATATTTAAAATGAATGAAAAAACATTATTTTATGAATAATAATAATAGGATGCAGGAGAATCGGAAGTTTTAAATCATTCGATTATGGTTAATGCTGATGAATATATAGTAATAAAATTACCAGACCGGACACCTGTAGGTTTATTTGGCAATGTAGAAAGAACTTGTCTTGATTTGCGAGTGCCTAGATTATTAAAAAGAGCATTTGTTCATGTTCCAGGCTCAGGGTATAACCATACTTTTAAATTATTCAAAGGTAATGATAGGAAGGCTTTTAATCTTGCAGCAAGGTAATATTTACTATTTTTACTAAACTGATAAAAATTAATACCATTGAATACTTTTTCTTATAGTTTAGTTCATAAACCCTCTGGTCGAACATTGGATGTTTATACAGATATGCCTTGTATTCATGTTAATACTGCTCAAGGATTTCCTGATTATGGAATTTTAGACAGAATCAACAAAAATTCAGCAAAGGTTACAGATTTAGTACCCCCTAGTGCTATATTTGGTGAAAGTGGAAGTGAACATCATTCAGAAGGAGTAGAAGATACTACTATTAATAGCCTTGAACAACTAGTATCTGAAGATATGGAGGAAGGAACTACTATAAAAATTCCAGAGACCAATTTATATCTTAATAATAAAGCTACAATAAATAGTCCTATTATAGGCAAATCTAAGACAATTTATAATAAGCTATCTGGTATCTCATTACGCCCTCAACTTTTTCCAGATGCGCCTAATCATGTAAGTTTTAATTTTAAAATAGGATTCTTTGTAAATTGTACATTTACTATTTAATTAAATTTTTTTCAGGATAACTTTGGCAATATTATTACACAACCATCCAATTTTTATAGCCAAAGAGTTATTTACAAATTTGGAGTAATTGAAACTAATTAATTTACTTTTGTAGCAACACAATAAATAAGTTTTATAGAATAAAAAACATTCAAATTAAAAAATTATTATAAGTATTTCATTAAAATTGATTTTAATCAAGGGTGTCCCCACATAATCGATATAAATATATAGTGGCGTCTGTAGTATCTATGAATATCAAAAAGGAAATTTAAATGGCACTCCAGATTTCAATAATGATTATTTAAATATTTAAAAGTAACTCAATGCAGTAGAACTTAAAAAAGCTATTTAGAAATTTTGTTTATTAAAAAAATCTATATTTAGTTATATTTTTTATGGTAAACTTTACTTAAAAATTTTAGAGTAGATATTTCTTCAAATAACCAAATAGACACAGTTATGAAAAATAAAATTGCACCAAATAAAACATGGAAGACTTTATCATTCTCAAAGTATATGTTCTGAAAAAAAAATCATCATTAATGTAGCTTATTAGTAAAGTAAATTATTTATTGAATTTTACTTGCCTCTGAATATAATGTTAAAATTGTAGAAAGTATTAAGGTCATTAAAAATAGTTTTTTTGGTATTAAACTTTTAAGAGGACTATAATTGGTATTTTTGTATTGAGATATAATGTATCGTCCACTAAAAATAAAAATAATTTTAAAACCATCAAAATTTAATTAAATAGTTGTTATACATACCATTGTATAATCCTAAATGCAAAATTACAACAATTTGCTAAAATAAAACCCAAACCTCCAAAAAAAGAAGATAGCACAAATGAAATAAATATAAATATCACAGATAAATAAACCATTTCCACATTATACCTATAAAAAAAAATTAACTTAGTTTTTGACTTGGGAAAAATATATGATTTAAAATTACTGGTTTAATTCAGTGATATTCATGGTTGCGGCAGCATAACATTCAATAATGCCATTTACAGCCAAAAACAAAATAGATAAACAATGCATTTTTAATATAATAGGACCTATACCAACGGCTAATGCTGACCCTCCATAAAGATATAAGGCAAGTTTTGCATATGCCTGACCAAATGATAGAACAACTAATCCAATTGAGCTATTCACACGTAATAGACATTCCAAAACATTTACAACTTCTTTGATTCTATTTGAATCCTATGAAATATATTATTGTTAATCATTAAAAATTTATTTTAATTTGAACTTACTTGCTCTATTTGTTTTTTAATAGGGACATCTCTATGTACAAGTTGACTAAAATAAAAATAAGAAGCAGTTTCTACAGGTCTAAACAGAAACCGAGCTGCTAAAGATCCCAAATTATTAATAATATCATATACCCCTTGTTGATTAAACTTTAGTGTGTTGAAAAATGTCATTACATAACGTTCACCATCAGTCAGTAATTGTTTCATAAATCCTTGCTTCAAAAAACTCCATAGTAATAAAACTAATCTAAAATCTAAACATTCTGACCATTTCTAAAAATACATTTGAAATTTTTTTTATACAGGCTACATTAAGTAAATTAAAATACTAAGTTTTGTAAAAATAAACTAGTTAACGGAAATGAACATAATATGAATTTTTAATTAAAGGATTAAAAAAAAAAAAATGCTAGTTAAAACTGTAAACTTTAGCAGCAAAATTGTGTTTAAATTATGTACACATTTCTTTATTTAATTAGTAAATTTATTCAACATTTTTTTTATGTGAGTACTATGTGATGTTAAGCTAACTTCTCTATATATTTTTATTTGGAAAATTTATATATCAATTATATATTATAAAAGTTTTTCAAAGACTAAACAATTTTTTTAAATGTCTATATTAATTTTTTTCAACACAAAATTATTAATTAATCAATGGGGTTTTTAATTTGTTTACACTTTACTTTTTTAAATATTTTAGGAAATAAGTCCCACATAGAATTGAATGGTAAATTGTCATTTTTGTTTCTTAAATAGTACCAAAAATATGCGTAAAATGATAAAGTATATATAAATATTGAAGCTAGTTGAGCAAATGAAAAAGCTAGTACAGCATTTTGTCCACTCCAGCTCATAACCAAAGTAGTATAAATAATTGTTCGTATAGTTATATTAATAATTTCCAATGCTATCTAAAAATGATTTAAATTAAAAATAACTATATAAATAAACCAAATTCAATTATTACCTGTACTCTAACAAATAGAAATGCTTGTCCTACAATGTACAATTGCTCAGAACAAAGTTCCATAACACAACTTATTAATATTGACCATACTCCAAATTTATAATGCAATGTCAGAGATATATTAGGTTGTTCCAATAAGTTTAACCAAACATAACCACATACTCCACTAATTCCAATACAAAGTGGTACTCTGTAACAAAAATAGTTTTATTAATTTAAAATTTATATAACAAAATAAATAACATACGATAGCCAGATAAGGTTAATCACTTTAGGCCAATCATGTTGTGTTGTTGCTGTTAAACATGCTCTTCTAAAAGCTTCTCGACTTAAGAATAATACTGTTGACTCTAATAATAGTAACCTGACATTGGTTATCCCAATTTCATCTTGGGACACGTGTCTGAGAACACATGCGTTTAAGACAAAGGTTAAACATCTAAAACCAATCTAAATTTGCAAATATTTTATAATTATTTATATTTTTAAGAATAAAATATCATTACTTGAAGAAGAATATTTAGTGAAGCGTTTTCAATACTACTTTTCAGGAAATTTTTTGACATTTTGAGCGTATTTAAATCATTTACATTCTATAAAAATGATTTTAATAGATGTTATAACATAGTTATTTTATAAGATAATTTAAATTTATATCATTCAAACTTCTAATAATATAACGACTAATTTGCGATGTTTATTAAATATTCATTGAATACATTGAGCAGAAATTAAATTGCTAACAATCATGAGATAATTTTTTTTTGTTAGGAATGAGAAAATATTAGCAGTCTCGCTATTAAAACTGTATTTTTAAAAGTTACTCCTGATAATACTATTACACTTATTTGTCAGTAAGTTATCATAGATAATATATATTCAAATGTTATTGATAAGATAAATAATTTTATATTTCAGCAAAAATTTTGCATTTGTAATAAACAAATAAATATGACGTTGTTTAAATATTAATTTAATTAGAAAATAATTTTGTTTGTATTTTCTTTAAATATATAGATAATTATTTATTAAGATACCATAAAACTAAATTAAACTTATTAAAGTATAATAAAGTGGGTTACGGAGATTGCCACGAACTGATGATGCCCCAACATTCATATACTACGACACTGTAAAAAAAATCCTCCGAATACATTTACTCTGACAACAATTACTACGAATACCTGGTTACAAAAATTTGGATTTTACTACGACGATGAATACTCCGAATAGGACTATTAATTGATTGCTCCGACTGAAATTAGCTCCAAATATCGATTAATCGCGAAATCGATTAAAAAATTATCAAATTTCGGAGTAGATGAATATCGTAGCAATATATTATCTGATGGAAAAATATAACCCTTATCACTAATTAATAAATATTAATTAATTTAATAAATAGCGTTATAATTGATTACTGTCTATTAACAAATAATTATTACAATAAAGATCCCTGAAATGTATCCGACTTTTGATAAAATAGGTACATAAAGGTAACATAACTGGTGTGAGCCCTTAAATTTTTTTTTTGGAGGGGAAAGAAGAGCGATTCCAATTTTCAGACGTAAAATCTTTTATACCTCTCCTTATTAGTGCTTATTATAACATTATAAGCACATTAATATTATAACATTTAATTAGTTTAGTTAAAAAATATAGAGGTACGTTTCACTGATGATAGTATTCGTCATTAAACTGATGCGTTTATAAAGATATTTGGTATCCCATTCTCTAAAACTGTCATTACAATTTGTCTCATATGAAATCAAACAAAAATATGATTTAATATCATTTCATTGTTCAAAGGTGGGTAACGAAATTAATTCAGTCCAGTTTGGATTTGACCGCAATCTGGAGAGACTTGAGGGGGCTTTGTCTCCTAAAATTCTGCCATAGAATATACCGAAAATGAATTAATTTGTATTTCTTGTTGTATAGAAATATTTTTTAGATTAAGTAAAAAATGATGTCATTAGAGTTCCCAAATATTTTGTTGCAATACTCCTACGCTCTAGTCAAATTAAGTAAACACAAGGCAGTTATAAGTTAACAGTGGACAATAGTTTATGATTAATCATAAACTTACTTAAATCTTCTGTTAAGATAATTGGTTTTAAACTTAACTAACTCGATTAAAAATATGCAGTCAATTCATTAAATAATGGTTGAGTTTTTTTTCATTTGCATTATGATTATTTGAAGTTTTGTCAAATATACGTATAATTAAATATTTTAATTTATAATCATAATTGATAATCAAATAATTATTCATTTTTTCTCATTAAATGGAAATCAAATATAATAATATAATATTGAAACTGTACAACTTTTTTTATATATATATGTATATATATATATAATACATTACATTACGTGATTTTGTTTTGAAAATTAATTTTTATTTTTTAGGAATATGCTTTCATATTCTAAAAAGTAAATTTAAAATGAATTCAAATTTTTAAAAAAACTTCATTTTTTATCTATAGAACAATACATTTGTATTTGCAGGATACACGTTAAGTTAACGAGATGAAAACATTGTCAAAATAATCATCTTTTCGCAGTGTCGGCCTGGCTCAGAAGGCCCTCATTAAATTTAAGATTTTTTTTCTCGCTGGACCACTGAGAAAATTGTCCAACAAATTTAATTATTATTAAAAAAAGGAAAGGCTATTCAGGTATTTTTTTCAAGGAAATATCAAACTGATTTCAATAAATGTATATTAGATTTTAAAGAAAAAGAACTTTAAATAAATAATTTTTTACTCCTTAATATTTTTAATTTTTCTTTGAGCACCACTGAAGATTATAATGGTTTTACTTATAATTTAACATTGATTATAAAACTCATGTCACAAAATTAAAACTGTTTAACGATGAGTTAATATACTTTTACTTTTAGATGACACACAGAATTTTTAAATAAGAAAAAATTAATTCTACTTATATGTAACCAAAACTTACTAATTCTTAGCATAACTCATATTAGAACTTGTAGCAAAAATTACACAGTTTAATATTATTTTAATTTTTTTAAATATAAGTTAAAAATAATTTTAGTAATTAATTTTCAATTAAAATTGCTGAAAGAAACATTAATCATAATCTACTGAGTCAACACAAACCTATTGGAAGAAACTTCCAGAAAGTAATTAGACTAAAAAAAATGTGTTCAACAATTACTGCATTGAAATTGGATATATGTTATTTTATACTTAGATATCCTAATGCAGCACTGGAAAAAATCCAGTCATTCCCAAGAATGATGAGGAACACATGGAAGAAATTTCTTTTTTAACCTTGAGGTTCTATTGCACTACATCCAAAATTATTGGATTATAAGATATTATCAGATTCAACATAGAACACCCAATTTTATATTGTACAAAAGTCATTATTTTTTAATATTACACACTTAGGAATTAATAACTAATAAAATGTCACATGACAATTTTTACAGCACATATTTGTTATAGAAAAATTAGTTTTCAAATGGATCTCTTAGATGTTAAAAAATAAGTTACGGTTAGATAAAATTTTGTGGATCAATTGAAAAAACAGTTAATTAACAGTTTTTTGATTTGATAAAAATATTTTGTAATTATTGGATAATTAAAAAATGAAATTCTCAAAGATAAATATATACTCTAACAATAGAGAAAACTTTTTCAAAAATGTACATTTGTATTAAACACTATTAATTTTATGTTACTTAATGAATGACTATTATCATTCGAGCAGTGGTGTAGTCCTAAAAATGTTTATGGGTATACGCCTATATTATGAATAGATAATATCGTGGGGGGCTTCGCCCCCCCCCACACCCCCCATTGAAGTTTATATTTTCTACATACAATATTTCACAATTATTTTGTTGAACTTTTAATTTTATACATTATCAACAGTGATATAGTCGTAATTTGATCAATAGATAAGTTAAAAACCTAAATGAGGAAACGTGGGGAATTTCACCCTCACACTACTTTTCAAAGGCCTTAACTATAACATAGTTTTAGGGGACGGAATACAAATATTGTGATGTTTTAACTGTGTTAAAAATATGTATTTTCTAATTATTACATAATGCAACTAAAACTCCTAACCCTCCCAGATACGGCCTTGCTCCTTCCAACTTCCAAACTATTATTCGAATATTTTTACTGACACTTCTAAGTTCTTACATAAACTAAATTTCATAGTCATATAATCGATAAGTGTATTATAAGATACTGTTATATTTTTTGTAAATAAACAATAAACTTTATGCAGTAATAAAATAATCTTACAATCATTGTTTACAAATCGTTAAAACATAAATGAAATAAACGTGAATGGGTACATGTTAGCACTATCTTAATTCATTATAGGTAATATATTAAATACTAGATTGGTTGGTAAACGGTTTATTACGGAAAAATACAAATTACCAATTTCAACAGCTATAGGTTAACCCAATAACTTTCAGTTTCAACTTAGTATGTGCTATATCGTTAATTTCTGGTCAATGTTTTAAATTTTGTCAAATGTCAATAAAATTGTCGTGAAATAATAAAAATAATCCTATTTATTTTATTGATATTTATTTATACACTTTGACAGTGTTTTGTTTTACATTTATATTCTATTTTTAAAATGATAATAGTCTCGAGCCATATTTGTGTGTTTATAACTTCAGATATATGTTTATATGTGGCATGACTGTAGAGATTAAACAAACTGATAAGAGTTATTCAAAATTTGTGTTTTATGACAAACATACTTATATTCGATACCCACGTATTACTTTTAGCTTCGATGCGAAGTTGTTACTATTAGGCTTAAAATGTATGTAATTTAAATAAATAATAAAATCCACATAACATATTAGCTTCGATGCGAAGCGGAGAAGGTATTACTTTTACTATGATGTGTTTTTTTTTTTTTTTATGTCTGTTGCCACTTTTTCTCAGCTCTCACTGGACCGATTTCTTTCAAAAATACGTCAAAAGATCACAATTGAAGACATTACCCTTAAAAATTGAAAAAAATTCCCTCGTTCCCCGCAAATGGGGGAAATATCCAAAAAAATTACAAATTTTAAAATCGCTAATTTTCGAAATTTTTTCACTTTTTTTTCTTAAAACTTCCATAACTTTTTGAAAAATCAACAAATCAACATAATTTTTTTTTATACTAAAACCTTAGATATCTACCTTTCATTTGATATCATTTTTTTGAAAATCTATCACTTAACCTGCTCATTGGGGGGGATTTAAAATGGCAACTTTTTTACAAAAATTAATTTTTTCAACTTAATTTTTGAAAATGTTCCGGAAAGACTGCGTCCTTTAAACATATATCAAATTAAAGCTTATTTTATGTACTACAAAATGAAAAAAAAAAATTTGTCCCGACACTTTTTTTTCTACATTTAAACGGCTGCCGTAGTTAAAAAAACACTATTTTTGTGTTAAAATTTTCGATTTTCAATTTTTAATTTTCAACTTAAAAATGCTATAACTTTTCGAAAAATGCATGTATCAGCACAATTTTTTTTTTTCTAAATACATTATAAGTACATCTTCCATTTGACATACTTTTTATTAAAATTAGACAATTTCCCCTTATATAGGGGGGGTTCAAACTTTGAAACATTGTATAAAAAATAGAACTTTTTCAACTGAACTTTTGAAAATGTTCCGGAAATACTGCGTCCTTTAAACATATATCAAATTAAAGCTTTTTTTATGTACTATAAAATGAAAAAAAAAAATTTGTCCCGACACCTTATCTTCTATGTGC